CCTGTCAGTTGTGGTAACTCTTACATCAGTAACCTATGAACTTTTGTTTGTGGGAAAAGTTGTCTTTAGGCACTTTCTATACAACTTTGGATTTTTTAAAAAAACACTATGACTATATGAACCGTATGAACTGCTGTTGTGGCGCAAAGTATTCTGGAATGGTTCCTGATATCGTTCCCGATAATATTATGGGATGTTTTTCAATTTATCCTCTTGTGAAATTTGTTCGGACACTGAGCAGACTTTGTGAATCAGATGAACTATAACACTATATATACGCAAATGTATGTATCTTGGAGACATTTTTATATTGTCCATATCATGATGTGAACATAATGTACTGACACTATTTGGACCATTTCGTTAGTGCAGAAGTTGTGAGCCGTATACATCCACCCAGAAGGTTTGTGTAGGTCCTAAAGCTATCCCTCCACCAGGCCACTGATTTTTGCTGGCAACATCAGTTTGTTCCTGCTGCTACTAAAGTTCTGTGAAAATGTGGTTGGTGCACCCTGACCCTCTATGTTAGAGTGAGGAAATTCTTAGTTACTGAATAATTTTAGCAAAGTGGGCAAAGCTAAGCCGCTGATCTAGCTGTCCATACAGCAAGTACTTTGCCTCTGCTAAGCACTTTTTAAAAACTCAATCAGTAACTTATTATTACTGCATTTATATGCCACCTTTTCCTTGGGAGCACCAGGCAGTGAACATGGTAGCTTCTCCTACTTTTATCCCTTGCAATAACAACTCTGTGTGATGGGTTGAACCGAGAGAGTGACTGAGGCCAAGTGTCCCAATGAGCTTCATGGTGAAGTGACTTGAATTTGGATCGCCTTATTCCAAGTTTAACAGCTTAATTACTACACTATATTGGCAATTCAGCAATACTATTGGATGCAAATAATAGCCTTGTTCTCTGAATTGTGGTTATAAAAAAACTTGTTTGCTTAGTAGATTTTTTGGAATGTGGTTTGATTAGTATTTTTATATATATACACATGCACCTACATGCACACATGCCTGCTCATGGACCCACATGATATATTTAAGCCTGACATGTTTCTGGGGAACTCCCTTATTTGGAAAGCCACTGGTTATACAAGTTCTGTAATTCTATTGTTGGAAGGAAGGAAGGAAGGAAGGAAGGAAGGAAGGAAGGAAGGAAGGAAGGAAGGAAGGAAGGAAGGAAGGAAGGAGCAATAGAATTAAGTGATTAGAAGATAATGCTTGGTACATAAGGTGGCTTACTGCATCATCTAATATTATTTTAAATCACAGAGTGAGAGTAATGGGTTACTAAATTAAAATTTACTAAGTTGGGTGGTTGCTTCTGTGCCTTTTTAAAAATTTGATATAAAAATATTACTATGCTTTGGGACCTTTTGCATGGTGAGTGTTCAATATTTTATACTGCAGAGAGGGAATAACTAATACCAGAATGCTGGAAGTTCAATTAGACAATCTCAAATTATTTAGCCTAAAGTAGTATTTAGGAAAGACAATTTTAAATGGTTTGTCATAATTTGAGCTCCTGAATGAAAATGGGATATAAATCTAACAAATAAACACCTGGACAACCAGATATTGATTGTCTCCTATGCTTTGCTAGTAACTAAAGAATTAAATAAAGGCAAGATTCAAATCTTAATTGTGCTAATCCATAATGTGGTTTATTTAGTCTGGGCTCAATTTGTTACATAAATGCAGCCATTGTGATTTGGTAAATTACTATGACTTAACCTGCTGTATAAATCCAGTAGATTATAGTTTATTTAATAAACCGTGGGCAAACTATGATTTAGAATATTGTGCAAACATAGATGATGATGAGTTTGATTAGATCTCCATGGTATAGAGCTTAGCTTAGATCTCCATGGTATAAAAATAGAACAGAGATGGGATCAGAAACAATCATTTTGCTAGCTCTGTTCCTTATTTACAAGAAGACTAATTAGCCCCCCAGGATGTGTCTATCATCCCAGTAGGATCTTTTGAGACCGAAAGGCAATGTTGGAATACAGTGTTGCAAGCTTCCTAGTTGTTTGTATTTAAATATCTTTTTCAAAAGTCAAGTGAATGCCCAAGTAATACTGCAGAAAACCAAATCACCACCCTGGCACTAGTATTTGGTGATGGTTACTATAGCAGCAAGGAATATTGGGGAAATTTTTTAAAGAATGCCAACTTTCTTGCAAGACGTGTCAGTCATTCAAATTGTAGATATAGGTGTTTTAAATACAGGTAATCCTCACTTACTGAGGATTATTCGTTCAGCAACTGTTCGAAGTTATGATGGTGCTGTCCTTCAGTCATATGATCTCCATTACAGTCAGTACGTGTTGTCCTGTGCCTGACCTGTTGAGATAGCATATAGCCAACTTTTGCATGCCTTGGTGCTGCCTGTGTGATAAGGGGCCTGGATTTTAAATCATATGTACTGATCCTACATGCATACAAGTTAGGTCTGTGCAGAACTGTTAACCCCACTTTGCATAGAAGACTCCAAGAGAGCTACAAAGCAGCTATGCCAAACCTTCAAATATCTGCAGTTACTTCATGCTTTTGTGTTATGGTCCAAAGCAGTGGTGACATGTGAGCACAGGGCCTCATCCAAGAATCTGCATAATCCTAATACAAGTTGCTATGTGTGTTGGCTCTTGACATAGAAAGACATCCAACATGTGGAATGTACAGCTGCAAATCCTCTTCTTCTTATGTGCTGGTCTTTTTCTCCTTTATAAAAGCTTGTTTTGCATTGTACTTCTCAAGATTAAGTGTCTGGATTAATGTTACATAGATTAGCAGAAAATGTCAGTTATGATGATTGTGTTGAAACATTTCATCAAGAAATGATGCTATCAGTAGATACAAAGCAGAGAGGAGCCAAAGGAAAGTGAGAAGGGCCATTAAATGGGAACTTAGCAATGGCAGACAGCTGGATACTTATTTATCAATAATGTGACTGATAGTGACTTTCTCAGCAAAGTGCTAACAAGGGGTATTTTGTCATAAAGACTGACATTATTTAGACATCATAGTTTAGCAACGTCTGGAGGGCCAAAGCTTCCCCACTCCTACATTAATGAAATCCTCCCCAATTACTAAGTAATTAAGTTGGTGGGTTTGTAGCAAGATCTGCTTAATTTTGCATTGTATGTTTCTACAAACAAATTCCAATGTTAGAAGATAGAAGAATGGATCAAGGTTTACCGATATTTAGAATAGTTAGTAGGACTTTATTAACTGCTCTAAATATTAAACATTATTACTTAAATAGGATTTAAATAATAATGACTGTCTTAAATCTTGTTGATTTTAATGGCCCTGCTTTATATACAGCTAAATCTGGGTCTAAAGAGTGGAAGATAGAAAAGATTGCTCTTAATTTATTAGGAAAGTGATGTTCTAAAATAAGGTCTTCTGCGCTCTGCTTGGTGTCTTAGCAACAAGACTTGACTAGGTAAATGAGCACATGACCTTGAAAAAATCCTACATGTCTTTTTCTGCTAATGAAACCAGAGACTGTTAATTAGCTAGCATCTATAGCTGGAAAATGGTAGTTTAAAATCAAGTAAAATAGAATATTTTAAAAAACATTAACTTAACTGTTTGACCAAGCAACTTGCACCCATGACTCGGTCTCATTTTCTGACAGGGAAGAAAGGGAGCTTATCATCAAAATGTGAAGAGAGGCTGGTTCAGCCCTAACATACAGCATCCTATATGACATGTCTTTTGGATATGCTGAAGTGAAACTACAGAATAACTTATAAGTTTTTAGGGACAACAGTTACAACACCGAAACAAGCAAGCTGTGATTGACATGAATCAGTTTAATGATGATATGATGAGATGGGGAAAGTTACATGTGAGCAGAATGAAGTTCTTCAATCAATAAAAATGGTCATTGCAGTTAATTATGGTCAGATTCCTAGGAGTATGTAAAAAGTTTCAAATTCAAAAAGCTTGAGTTTGAAACACATTTGTAACTGGAGATATATTAAAATATGGATGTGGTTTGCTTATGGAGTGACTGTATGACTTATTTGACTTTTGTATGAAGACTGCATCTGTACCTGATGGTTGGAAGAATACCAGTAATGTTCTTTTATGCAAAGGGAAAGGTGACAGTGTATGCATCTGTGTACCTTGATTGAATGTTTATTAAAGAGGGGAGACTGGATGTAGACATTTTAAGATTGGCAAATGCTGGTAGAAGGATAGTTGATAGCATGTAGACTTTTGTGAAAAATGAATGTCAAAAGAAGTGAAAATTGCTGTGTTTGTGTGTGCTTCTGCCCACTTTGTTATATGCAAATGAGGGGCATTTCAAGAGATACATAAAGTGAGATTGAGTTACCTAAAAGGTGTGTGTGGTAAAAGAAGAAGAGATGGTCAGGATGTATGGGAGATGAATGAATGTGGATCGAAGACCAGTATGTCCAATATCAAACACTGAGGTGGTTTGGTCATATAGAGAGAATGAATGAAGATGGAATCGTAAGAGAAATATATATAGGAAGAGTGAATGGACTGAGAGAAAGAGAGACACTAAGAATATTTTGATTGAATGGAATTTATGAAATTCTGAAAAAAGAGACCGATGAGTTCAAAAAACTATTATGAATCAGAGATGGAAGCAAGGATGATTTAAAAGGGTCGAAAAGTATGGAAAGATATATTGAATAGGATTGGTGTAAACTAGATTTAGTTAGATTTCCTTTCCTTTCCTTTTTCTCTTGCTCCAATTTCTTTTACTTACTACTGCTATTGAACTGCTTACTTCTAAAGGGAAGAATGTATGTATATACAAATACTATAAAATAATACAGTTCTTAATTTATGTATACTGATATTTAGTTTAAATTTAGACAAGCAAACATTTCCCACTATTGCCATTTAAGATCAGCAAATGAAAATCAGAAGAAAAAGTCACTGGGTATTATTTATCTCTTTCCTTCTAATGTACTTGACCAATTTGGTTAAATCTTTCATTGTAGGCTCAGCTAGAAGCTCAGAAAGCAACGCAAGATTTCCAGAGAGCAACAGAGGTGCTACGGGCTGCTAAGGAAACCATTTCTCTTGCAGAGCAGAGGCTGCTGGAAGATGATAAACGTCAGTTTGATTCTGCCTGGCAAGAGATGCTCAACCATGCTACGCAGCGGGTAGGCTCTATTGCTAACTCTTTCTATCCATTTTTAAGTATTTTAGGCAGGAAGATGGAGTTGATAATTTACAGGATATTGCACAGGTATCAATCACTAACTTCAGGGACAGCTGATTCATAGATGTCAGGAGAAAAGCAGCAAAGACTATTTGCATATAGCTTTTCTAACTTCTATAACAGGTAAAGAAGGCTGAATCTATCCATATTAAAATTATGTATTTTGGGCCTGCTATTGCACAAATAAACAAATGCCACATATTTTGATGAAGATTCTCAGTCATCCAGCCGGAATTATCTGGAGGTTGAGTCATGGCAACTGGACTTCTTTTCTGAGAAGCTCTGAGAGTTTTTTGCATCGAAGTCAAATTCCTTGTATGTCTAATCATACTTGGCCAATAAAGTATTCTATTCTATTCTATTCTATTCTATTCTATTCTATTCTATTCTATTCTATTCTATTCTATTCTATTCTATTCTATTCTATTCTATTCTATTCTATTCTATTCTATTCTATTCTATTCTATTCTATTCTATTCTATTCTATTCTATTCTATTCTATTCTATTCTATTCTTTTGGTTTGATACGTTTCGCTGCTTGTCCAAGACTGAAGAAGCTGCTTGGACAAGCAGCGAAATGTATCAAACCAAAAGAAAAGAAGTCCAGTTGCCATGACTCAACCTCCAGACAAATGCCACATAGCTTCTGTAGCTAATTATTATATTTTGGTGCCTTTGAGTCAGCTTTTGACTCTTGGAGACTGCCTGGACTAGTCCTTGCAGTTTTCTTGGCAAGATTTCAGAAATGGTTTGCCATAACCTTCTTCCTAGGGCTGAGAGAGAGTGACTGGCCCAAGGCCACCCAGCTGGCTTTGTGCCTAAGGCAGGGCTAGGACTCCTGGTCTCCTGGTTTCTAGCCAGATGCCTTAACCACTACACCAAACTGGTTCTCTTTTTACTAATTATTACCACTACTTTTAAAAGGAGTTGTTGAATTTTACATTAAATGAAACTTTATTGGATTGTGATTGAGTACCATCAAGACAGTGTTTACTCATAGTGACCACATGGATAAATTTTCTCCATGTTGATCTGTCCCTAACCTGTTCCTTCATGTCTTTCAACGGTGCACCCATAGCCACAATAACTGAATCCCTCCACCCTGCTGCTGGTCATCTTCTCTTTCCTTCCACCTTTCCCAGCATCAGGGCTTTCTCCAGAGAACTAGGTGGATTGATTTGTAATTATTGTTTAATAGTTAATCAGATTTTGGGCATTATTTATGATTAAGTGAGAGTAAAAGGACTTGGACTTGGTGGCCTAAATGGACTCTTCCAACTCAATGATTTTATGATTATGTGTCTGGAGTTTCTTTACACGGAAGTTATTCATTTTCTGCATTTTTGTAACACTGATGGAATTTCAGTCAAGTGGCCAATGGGATGTTTCCAACCTTAACAAATTATAGCAAGATATTTGCAACTGAGATCTACTGAGCCCTCTTTTTTTCTATGTGGTTTTGCTATTTTGCCAGGTATTTGGATTGAGACATTTGAGAAATATTGTTACCAGTAATAATAATAATAAAAAAATAAACCAAGCTTTGCACATAGTAGCTTAAACTCAAAAACATTTTCATTACCCCTTTTAAAGGTCATGGAGGCAGAGCAGACAAAAACTAGAAGTGAGCTGGTACATAAAGAAACGGCAGCCAAATACAATGCTGCCATGGGCAGAATGAAACAGTTGGAGAAGAAGCTGAAAAGGGCTATCAACAAATCCAAGTAAGTCTAAACCTTCAAGGCATCACTTGATATTGTGACTGCTGAGTGATTAGCCTACATATGTAAATAGGACCTTGGGAAACTGTGGAAAGTTAATAAAGAGGCCATCAAGGCAGCCCTGAATCACAGACTCCTTCCAAATGCTCAATACAAGACAAATGCAGAAGGCACCACAAACAGAAATAAATATTATGGGGTCATAGCTCAGCAACATAGTGTATGATTCAGTGCAAATCATCCTAGGTTTTATCTGTGGCATTGCCAGATAGGACTTGAAAAAGTCTTGCTTAAAAAGTCCTGCATAAAAGCTACTGCCAGTCTGAATTAACAGTTATGAGCTCTCTGGACCAATGGTCTGAATCATTGGTTTGCTTCACCCATCATGCTTAAGCTGTGGTTTAACCATGGTTTTAAAAAGTAACAGTTGGCTGAAAAACCACAGGAAAACTACATTATGGCTTAGCCACTGTGAAAAAGACCTACTAGATGAATCCTGCCTGGCTCTGACTTTTGGTGCTTCGTTTAACAATTTGAGCTACTATCTTGTGCCTGCAATGCCTTTCAGGAGGGTTTAAAAACATCCCTTGGTACGATTATACAGCAGCAGGATTATTGCTTGAGGCTGGTAAAATTGAAAGACATTGCATTGTTTTAGTGGTTTTCCTGTTACAGGACAGCATTGTATTAGATAACCACATTCAAAACTGCTCGATTGTAACAGTGGAATAATTTAATACAGGGGCTGTCAGACTCTGGGTTGGAACCCCCTGGGAGGTCATAAGCAACTGTACAAGGAGGATCGGGTTTCATTTGAACTTGATCTGCCTTGTACAGGCAGAGAATTTCCAACATTCCCCAGGCTTCACTCCTTGCTATCAGCCCCACTAAGAAATCAACTCCACAGAAAGGCTAAAATTACTTTTATCGAGACTGGCTATAACAGAATCTTGCAAGTCTTATTGTATTTTACTTCCAACTCCTTCTTATAGTTCAGTGAATTAGAGAGGTGTCTGTTTGAACACTTCTGAATGTTATCTGGACGTTCTGGACTTAGTGTTTTAGGCCTTGTTGCCTTGGCAACGGAGCTTGCACATCTCCATCTTCTTTACTCTCTATATTACTTTGCCCACATAAGCTCCATTAGACAGTGTGAGAAACTGTGCGCTGTGATATATAGATTAAATTTAATTTAAAGCACATGGTATATTTATCTACTGCCCAACCCTAAGCCCAATGAAATCATTAGTTTTTTGGGTGGGGAGTGTCACACAAATTCATTACCACAGTATTTAAGGACCCCTGACTTATGTTTTGGATAAACAAGTTCCACATATTGAAGTAACGGGATGGCTAGTTTTTCTATATCAACAAGATGGTAGATGGTTGAGTGGATGGGAACTGAAGGGAGGAGGATCTTGTTGTTCTACCAGTAATAATACAGTTGTTTTCTTGTATTCTCCAATCCTGTAGGCCTTATTTTGAACTCAAAGCAAAATATTATGTACAATTAGAGGTATGTATCACATTTTATTCATTCATTCATTCATTCATTCATTCATTCATTCATTCATTCATTCATTCATTCATTCAATAGAAAAGAATATGTGTAGGTTAGGGTTGAACTGTGAAGTCCTTAGTGCTCTCTGAGCTAGGTTATTTGTTTGCAGATGTTTCATTACCCATCAGTGCTGTTTGTTTGTTTGAGTTCAGGGCCAACTGACTCCAAAAAAACTTCAGTGGAAAAAAAATCTTACCCTTAACCTGTTGCTGCAATTGTGGTAGTTGTCTCATTTTAAGAATGATGAAACTTTGATAAATACTGAATGTGAAATATTCTGTATAGATGAGAGGTCTTTGGAATTATTGAATTCCAATCTTTGAATGACCGTCTTTGGAATAATTTGAGGAGGAATTCCCAACATTAAGTTTATTTGTTTAGTTATAATTATTTTTATACCACCTGTTCAGGAGCCAGATCTTTCCAAGTCCAATTATTTTTATTTATTTTATTTATATTTCAAATTTAGATACCGCCCATCTCATGAAAAAGTGACTCTGGGCAGTTCAC